AAATCTGTTTCCTCCTCCTCCTCCCCATTTCAAGTTTTAAACATAGAATGTACTAATTTGTTAAAGTTTTATGTAGTTGCTACAGAAATTTGACATCATCTACTGTTTTTAATATATACCTAGTAATAATACAAAACAACAATAATAATAAAACAATCATAAAATATTATATTATTATTAATTATTATTATTATTATTATTATTATTATTATTATTATTATTATTATTATTATTATGGGATCCCTACGGTCTCCGTGTCACGGACATAAAGTCGATGGAGAATTAAATTATAAAAAGATGGAAAACAAACTTATGAATATTTCGAAAAGCATGTCAGAAAGGGCGAAGTCCGGTGAAGCCGGAGGAAAAGTTCCAAGACCTGCTCAGCACTAGGTAATGAGCGCCTCGGGTCCCGCACCACCCAGCTTGGTCGCTGAGGTGCCAGCGAGGAGGCGCAGCAATAGGCTGAGGAAGGAGGGTAGGAGAGGAAGGCCAGGCGGTGGCCGGGCGCGCGAGGTTCGGAGATTCGGACGAGAGCGGGCAGGCGTCAGGAGGGGAGATCTGCGTGGGGAAACCATGTGGGCTCTCGGTTTGGTAAATGGGTGCTAGACTAGTTTTTCCCTCATGCAAGTCTTGAAGATCAACATTATCTGATTTGATTGGAGTTAAAGTAAAATAAAAGTCAACGTAACAATTCAGACCTAACATGTAACGAGCTAGAGTTAATTAACCGGCGTAGAGGAAAGTTATCCTCTTTCATCGGGACGTTCCTTTGGGTGAGTCACGACCCGCCCTCTCACAGCCAAGTGAGCCGGGAGCCGGCTGACAAGAGGAGGTACGTAAAGACGAGAGAGAGTGAGAGTGTGAGAAAGAGTGAGAGTGAGTGAGAGAGAGAGAGAAAGAGAGAAAGAGAGAAAAAAGCGAGAGAGAAAGAGAGAGAAAGAGAGAGAGAGAGAGAGAGAAAGAGAGTGTGAGAGAAAGGAAGAGAGCGAGAGAGAGAGAGAAAGAGCGCGAGAGAGAGCGAGAGAAAGAGAGAGAGGGAGAGAGAAAGAGAGCGAGCGAGCGAGAGAGAGAGAGAGAAAGAGAGATAAAGAGTGAAAGAGAGAGTGAAAGTAGCCTGTACGCAAAAGCCAAAACGGTTCCAGTTGACGCAGGAGAGCGAACTGCGACAGATAAAATGCACACTCCGTAGGATATAGTGCTGCGGCTCCACCAGCCCGAGCGAGTGACTCACAGACGGCGGCGGCGCCGGTGTCCGGGGCGGGCTTGGCGTCGCCCTCGTCGTCGGCGGCGATGCGGCCCTTGTCGCGCAGCTCCATGAGCAGGTCGAGGAAGTCGCCGCGCTGGCCCTGCGTGCCGGCCTGCCGGCGCTGCTCCATGGCGTTGCCCAGCGCGGGCCGCAGGAAGGCCACCAGCGGCGCCGGCACCAGCGACACGTTCAGCGCCTCCACCAGTGGCGCGCGCACGAACATGCCGATCGCCTGCGCACGCCCCCCCCCCACGCCGCGCTCTCGTGGCACGTTATGCCGCCTGCCTGTGCGTCCGTTAGTCTGCACGTCCGTCCTCCCGTCTGCCCATCCGTCCGTCTGCATGTCCGACCGTCTACCCGTCCGTCCGTCTGCCTGTCAGTCCGTTTGTACGTCCGTCAGTCTGCCCGGCCATCCGTCCGTCTGCCTGTCTGTCCGTCTGCACGTCCGTCAGCCTGCACGTCCGTCCGTCTACCCGTCCATCAGGCTGCCCGTCCATCAGTCTGCCCGTCCACCAGTCTGCCTGTCCATCCGTTTGCACGTCCGTCCGTCTGCCCGTCCGTCAGTCTGCCTGACCTTCCGCCTGCCCGTCCATCCGTCTGCACGACCGTCCGTCTGTCTGCACGCCCGTCCGCTCGTCCGCTTGTTCGTTCGTCCGCTCGACCATTCATCCGTCCACTTGTCCGTCCGTTCGATCGTTCGTCCGTCCGCTCGTTCGTCCGCCAGTCTTCCCATCTATCCGTCCGTCCATTCGTCGGTTCGTCCGTCCGTCCATTCGTCGGTTCGTCCGTCCTTGTCTCTGTCTGTCTGTGGTCAACAGATGTTTCGATGTCAATCGATTTTTCTGTTTTAAAGACCAACAAAACATGCATTCTGGTTACATGTCGTGTTAGAGTAATTTATTAAATATATAAACAAGATTGAACCACATTTTAGATACCAGGGCTCGGAAATAAGTTATTCTGTTGAAAATCCGACGTTTTCCGGCGCACGATTACATTATTTTCTCTTGTTACTAGTAAGGGCGAGAAAGTAAAAGTGCTTTAATACTAACGAAAAAAATCATGTAATTAATTTCTTAGTTATCTAATACGTAATTTTTATTAGCCGTTAAGCCCACCCCAAATTAGTATTCTCCGGGTCCAGTATTCTCCGGGTCCATCGGTATATTACTGTTGAAAACGTTGACCCTCAAAGCCACTTTCAGAACCTACGAGTATTTCAGTGATGACAATAAAAATATTGCTACGATTTCGAAGAAATCAATCGGTTTCAGGTACTTAATACTTTGTTACCAACTTATTTTACTAATTTCTTGCTTATAAAAGACCATATTGATCAATTAAGTTGTCAAATACGTAATCCACGCTCTTATCGGTGAACTAGCGCCGCTTGTTTAAAATATAACTGTGAGACCCTTTTATCTCACAGAACATTTTAATTGAAGTCAGTAAGAGAGCAGATTCTCTCTTATAAAAAGTGTTGAAAAGTGTCAAAAAAAATAAAATGTTGAAATAAAAAGTGTTAAAAGGTGTTAAACATCGAGATGTGAGGAATATTTGTGGTAGGGAGTCTCGCAAACTCACCAGGATGTTGAGGATGCGGCCGAAGACGAAG